GTTATAGGGTTGGGATGTTCCTGCGCTTCATATGATCCGCGACCCCTTGGGACTTCTAAGCCAGAGTCCCAATCTGAACTAACTTCTTTGGCCGAAACTGTTCACTCCTCGGTAGTCCTCGCATACTGTCCATAGAACTCAGGCGGAGGTAATGCACGGCTCTTCCGATAGACGCTTATTACTAGCTCCTTTTGAGTCGTTTGCACATTTGTTGCAACTAGGTTTCTCCATCAGTTGGCCTGTCAGCCTGGATCTGTCAACATGGCCCTGTCGCTGGTACTAAAAACATATTTGCAATTCGAAGCAAGGCAAGAATTTGCCTCTGCAGGGATAGAACTCGCGCTCTTTCTGAGTACAGACGTGAGTCTACACTCTTATCCACTCGTTGGCCCTACCTCACAAGGAGTACTGTGAGTGTAATTCGATTAATGGTTCATGCGGCTTCATTGATCCGGTCCTCTTTCCAAATTGTTTGCAAGTACAACAATCAATATTAGAAAATCACGTTGCCAATTTTTCTGTTAGCTGAAGAAATAAGAATGATATTCATCAATGATAAGGTGTTTTTACTACTTGACTCAATAAAAACGATGTTGCGAAGGCATTCACAAAGAATCTCAGAAATTTCTATCCAAATAAGCTTCGTAGGAGGAAAAACTCTTCTTAGTCTAGCAACATGATCGCCACAAAGAAATTGACTTTACTAAGATTTTAGTTCCTTTTGTCATAGAGCTGTTGATGTAAACTTTGAGAAGCTCTCACGAACGACTATTTTGCTGAAAACCATATTTAGGTACTTCTCGACCCTCTTGCATGGATCAGTTTTGCATTTTCTATGTTCCTAATAGATTGATTTCCAGATTGTTTACTACTCCCTTGCACCCAAGAATCCACATGCACGTAGGTTTTCCAAGTAAATTGCATACCTCTAGTTATGGAATGCCTTCTTCGCCTAGTAGGATCCTGCCCACTTCGTCGGATCATCAAGGCTTTCTCGCTTGCCGTCCAATGGGGAAGTTCTGGTGGAGGTGCATCATCCTCAGATTCGACTAGAGGCTGAGGATCCTGTAAAAAGGGTGTATCAACAGCGGTTTCAAACATCCATTGAATTTAAGGGTTTACCTCGAGTATCAACGAGCTTTCCTTAACTCCATCATTTTGTACTGTTATAGGTTGAGCAGAAACAATGTTGAAGGCGAAAATAACACTTAATAATATCACATGCCTTCTCATCCTGAAATGTGCAGAGTTGGATAGCTTTTGAAGTTTTCAACGTTTTTACGAAAGTTCATCATACGAGCGATAAAGAACGGATGCTGACATTTGCAAAAACTTTTCAGAGTTATTTTTAGCAAAATCCGTTCAAAATGCGTATAACCTACAGCTTTATAGCAGGGGTGATCAGTGGTGAAGGCTATGTAGTGGCTTCCAGGATGACATCAGAGAGCAGGAGGAAAACCTTGTTCTTCAAGTGCTATACCACAGATTTACCGTTCAGACAAGTCTTTTTCCACGTCTTTTTGCGTATTCGCCTTTGTAATTATAGTCAGCCCCCACCCCCTCTTCCCCTTCCCCACACTTTTCTTCGGCCCTACAAAATCCTACTGCTGAAAACCTTACTATTGACATCTAGAGCCAACTCCATCAACCAAGTAAATCTCACTGTCTGCTGGTTCACTACTTGTCATACGTGTAAATTTCGGAGACCAGTAAAGGTTTTGAACAAAAGAAAAGGGAAAATGAACAGTGAATGCAAAAATATAGACATGGACCAGGTTCGTTCAGGCTTGAGAGAGATGACATGAGTACCCAATGGATCATTTGCAAACTGAAAGTTGGTTGCAAAAGTGACAAAAACCAAAGCGTTAGACTTCACACGGCAGAGACGAAGCAGACACATACACAGAAAATAAACAAACTTGCATGAAGTGAGAAATTGTCAACTGCAATGATTCGGATGTTCTTCAATAGAATTCAAATGAAATACGCGGAAAAAAAGAACAAAAATGATCGAAGAGAGATGTTTCGCAAAAGCTAGGAGGTAGCTTTCTTCTATGTCTTTGTCTAGTTTATCCTGGCATGACGGCAAAAGGTGTTTTTTGAATATTCGGTTGAAGAAGACTGTCGAGAAGCTCTACAGGAACAACTCCTTGCCCTTGCACATGCCTCCAACCACTGTTAAGTCAGAAACATGGGTAGGTGCTAGACCACCACGCGGACTTCACGAATTAAAAACAAGTGCATGGCGCGTCTACTAAACTTGACAAATTCGGCGCTTTTTGTGTTCGTTCTCAATGTTCTCAATTCTGTTATAACTTTCAATTTTCGAGTGTTCCCTTACATAGAGAAGAAGATGGAAGGTCGGAGGATTGAGGTGATCTCTAGAGTGATTAACGAAAGATCTTTTTATCTACATTCTGCAGCACAAAAGTTTTCATTGCAGTTTCCCTCAAGGTCTTGGGCCCCGTTCACTTTTCCTGGATATGATAGATACGTCTAGAAGGCCTCTAAGCTAACGGTTATTTGAAAGAGGGATAGAAGGGTAGTCACATCGAGTATGAAGGAGAGAAAGTGGAGATGAACGCATTGCGTAGCCACAGAGCGGTGAAAATGAATCAAAAATTGGGAAAATCGCTCAGTTGTACATGGCATGAAAACCGCTACAGACAGAGTTCCATCAGCTCAAAGTGAGCCAGGGGTCTGATGACTGACGTTAATGTACCAATTGTTAGAAGACGGTGAAAACACAGCACATAACAAAATATCATTGAATATCGGATCAGTGAATATCGGTAATGACCTGCTGCATGAAATTTCGCTGTCCGCTTTTGTTTTCAGAAAGCTGATGTTCCTACGTAAGCTGCTTATCGCCGAGAACATCACTAATACGAGAATGCACAATCAGCATAATTGGGTAATAAAATTAAAAAGAGTTCTGTAAAAAGCTGATTATCGCATATCGTAAGGGCTGTGGCGAGGTTTTTGGCTGAGACCTGAGGAATTTGAAATAAATCATTTCGGTTTCATGAGTTTGTATACAGTGTCGCTAACATGGGTCTGTTGGGGGAGGCTGAAAAAATTAGAGGGCAACAAGTCAAGGGACTAGGATAGGCCTCGAACTCGCGCTTGTGTTTTCCGGACACCGTGCTCTTGTNCTACCTAGGTCCCTATTACCCTCGTCCTCTGAATGCTTCTGAGCCATAGCTTATCAGCAATTACATTCAGCATAGCTCTCTTCCGCACGGTGCCCGGAAAGCACAATTATGAGTTTGAATTCTTTCCAAGGTCGCAGTTTTGCCCATTACTCGTTAACCTTATGAGAGTTTCGGGCAGGGACTGCGGCGGAATAGTAGTAGTTAACAAGAACAACGAGTCGAAAAAAGTAAGAGGTTTGCAATACAGTTTATGGGAATCTGGAGAAGAGGGACTGTGAAGCAAATCTGTGACGTCTCATTAATTCCAACAACACCTTCGTGCATTCATTCCGACGGGAATACCCTTTGTACTCTTCTCGTAAGAAAGAATCTGATGCCAAGAATTATTCCTTATTTGAAAAGGTTCCAGGATTGAGTTTCACAGTGAAAAATTGCAAAAAACTTTGAACCAATTTACTGCTCCTGCCACCGTAAAATGCTGACATATCGACTATGGCGTCTGTTGATACACAGCCCTTGACTACTTCTTCGACTGTGTGCGAATTCAATTCCGAGAGAACTTCAAAGTCAAATATATAAGAAGTCAGACAATGAGGAAAGATAGAAGCAGCTGTTTACCCAAGTTTACTTTGGCGCTGTTCCCATTACTACGACCGATTCGTTTCAGCCAACCCGAGAAACGAGGGTCGTCCTAGGGATAGTAAACTAGGTTTATAGCTATTTAGAGACGACTGTGTAAGGTATTTCAAAAGCGACTACCAAACAGACTCAACAGACTCGATGAACATAACAAGCCTTTCCTTTAACCAAAAAGTCCCTTCAAAAAAACGAATTCTAATCTCAACCATGGTGAATAGATAACGAAAGGTATAAAAAAGGTTCCAGCATAAACGACTAATTGTAATATATTACAGCATTTTTTGTAGGGAAATGTGCAAGGTTTCTAGTTCCGAAAAGGTGAAAAAAATGGTTGAACATCCCTTCGGAATGAGTCAAGCTTAAGGCTTCAATGTATGTTGGCAAGGGTATTGTTATGTGTGAAAGCGAGACATTGCGGTATCCATTCAAAAGATCTTATGTTAGAAGCTGCGGTTCCAAATTTTTTTGTATAGCTGTAAAATATCTGCCGGAATTCACAATAGTCTAAGTTTCTCCCATTATAAAGGTAAAGGCTGCTGTGGGTGCTTCCTGGTTACTTCATCTTTCTGCTGTTCCATAGAGCTAGCTATGGTTCATATATGAGCAGGCATCAGTTCCTAGTATACAAATCTCCGGGAGTGACTGTGCACCTTGAAGCAGAGTATCAGTTAATCCATTTTTATTGAAAGTCAAAGGATCGATTGACTTCATCCCAGCAGGAACTGCCACTTTCTACACAAAGAAATTCGACTGGTTGCCGAACGTTACTCTTGGTCCCTTATTAAGCCTGAGCTAATTCAGGGATGATCGGTCATCGGGAGGCGGTGGCGGCGGTCATTTGGTGGTCATGTCGTGTTTGCTGAGCACGGAAGCGCCTAACACTGAACACAGTCACCGACTACACTCCAAAACTGTTGACTTTTCATAAGAACGAATGCGCACGTTACATAAAGACAATGTGATGCTATGGCTACGTACGAGTGTCGTACGAGCATATGCAAGCACACAAATCGGCTCTGACGAGACCGCACACGAAGTTCAAGAAATGGAAAGTCCTGTTAAGGCAGCCTGATTACTCCGAAGTATACAGCTATTAGTTTTAATAATGTAACTTAGAAACAAAGTTTCTAAGTTACCTTTTTAGGAGAAGCGCTGAAGTGACTACCCTTTATTTGTGAGG